AGACACAAAAAAAAAAAAAAAAAAAAAAACACATCTTAGTAAAAATAATACCTTCTCAGCTTCGCATCGAAGCTAAAAAATACATATATACATAATAAACACATCATGGTAAAATTAATACCTTCTTAGCTTTGCATCTAAGCAATAAAAGTTGATAAAAGTAAAAGAAAATTAAAAAAAAAAATTAAATTAAGCCAGGTTAATTCCTTTTAATTTACACAATTCTATGTCTATGTATTGTTTATTTGATAAATATANGGTTAATTCCTTTTAATTTACACAATTCTATGTCTATGTATTGTTTATTTGATAAATATAAAATGTGAAATTATCTGATAATAATACAAGTATATTAAATTATAATGAAATAATACCGATATTTATTGTATGTAAGATAAGAATAAATTTGGAATACATTTTTTGGTTTTTTTTTAATATAAATATTGTATAAATTCATAATACGAAAATATCATCACTTGTATAATAATTTATAATATATGGTAAAAATGTATATGTATATTTATGCAATACGTCTTGGTATAAAAACCTAATAAAGAATAAACTATTGTTGATTGGTTTTAATAAAGTCTTAACTTCTTTAATATAATATATAAATTTACTGATATTTCTTTGAATAGTAAATTCGTCCAAGTCATCATATGGTTTGTCATAATAGAGTTGATACTCTGATTTTCCAATTCGAACAAATAAACCATTTAAACAACGTCTGTGTAAAAATTTAGCTTGATAATATAATGTGTAATATTTAGACTGGTTTAGTGAATTGTTCTCAAAAAGCATCAATATTGCATTTAACAAAGTATCCTTGAAACCTAATAGTTTAATAGCATCTTTTAGTGGTTCCACAATAAGATGCCATAAATTTCTATATTGATAAATTGACATTTGTATTGACGAACATTCGTTATAACAATTTATCGCTGTCCAAGTACTAAAAGTAATTAAAAATTGCTGCATATGTAATAAGATATACCGCAAAATATGTGTAAACACAATTTCTTGAAACATTAAATGATATTTTAGTTTTATACGAGGATGTTCGATGATCCATTCATTTTTTTTATAAATCGTGTTAATATATATTTTCAATTTTTCCATGTCATTCATATTATTTTGCAAATCAATTTCTCCAGTAGCCATTCGTCCAAAAATTACTTTATACTGATCTTGTATAAAGTACAACATCATATTTTCCATACTAAACATTTTTTCATAAATATATCCTCGATTCATTTCTTCATTGTTATACAACTGTTCGATGATGTCAAAAACTTTATAAAAACTGTAAAATTCATCTTTAGTCAATCGTGTCTGATGTTTTGGAATAAAATTTCTTACTTCACACTTAATTAAATCTTCGTTGATTTCTTTCCAAAGAAAATCTTGGTTTATAAATTTTATTTTCATTATAATTTCATTCCTCTCTGTATCTGCTATGTTGAGCAATTTAGTATATAAATCAGTTTGCCATCTATTGGCTCTAATATGGCCATAATATAATATAGACAGCATACGAGATAAATACATTTTATATTTTTCAAAGATTTCTAGTTTATCTGGATTTGGCATTTCATTTATTAACAATGCATTTTTTATATTCCAGATAATAGCATTTAAAATTAAAGTATTAATACATTGCAGTGAATTTTTTTTGTTTTCATACTTCTCTTTCACTTTTAATTTTTTTTCTATGCTCAGCTTTTCAGCTTTTGTAATATTACTAAAGAGGTTTACTTTTTCAATAATACTACCTGGAATCTTAGTGGTTTTATTTAATAAAGCATCAACCTCTTCTTCATCAAATAGACTTAGAGCTTTTTCTGGAAATAAAATTGGACTTACTATAGATTCAATTTGATTAAGCATTAAAACGAAATCTTGAGTGATATCATCATTTTTTATTTCTTCAATGACAAATGGCTGTAAAATGATTTTTTTGGAATGTTAATAATAAAATTTATAGTGGTTATTGAAAAATTTTAACATTTATGTAAAATCAATGGAAAAGTTAGTTTTTAATATAGATTTACAAATCATATTTTAGTTTTTTTTTGTTTCAATTATATATCTATTTTTGAGATTATTGTGGTAATTACTCTGAATGTTTCATTTAAAAAAAAATTGTAATTCAAATTCATAATATATTAGTTAAGTGCTGAATATAGGTTTTTCGATCTACAAAAAAATGTTCGAAGCTTATAGATTGTTGTGTAATATTAATTGGGATTTTGAAATACAACGCTCATTTAGTCGTACTATCCTAATAACTCGATAAGCAAATCACATTTTAGTTTTAATATTTTTTATGAATTCTATTTTCTTTAACATATAAGTCACGAAAACGATATAATACCAGTATTTTAATCTTATTGGTTAATATTAAGTTGACAAAAGAACCGGATAATGCATACATAGCCCAAATTTTCAGAGAATCATTATAGTAAAGTTAATTAATTTCTAGACAGTCTGGATTTGTTATTCATATTATTTTTACAATTTTAATCTTTAAGTACATTATATTAAATTTGATATAAGTTTCAAGAGCTTAGATTTTTTGGAATATTTAAATGAAGACTATAAATATTAACATAGACAGTTTTAATACAGTTATAATTTATTGTAATATTTTTTTAATACGGGAATTGAGAAGAATTGTAGAACAAAGTCGTTCCAGTAAGAATAAACCAAAGAAACATAAAAAACATAATATGATGTTTACTATTTTTATGATAAAATTAAAGCTTTTTCAGTTTCGCATCGAAACGTGAACTATGATAATTTTGTTAAATAATTAATTATAGATTTAAGTAATGCAATTTTTATATATTATAAAATGTCTATTTGTTTTTAATAACTAAAAATTTTAATTCTGTTTATATACTGCACGATATTTTACTTAGTCAAAAATAAAATCATAGAAAATTACCTTAGAAAATTCTGGAAGACAAATAATCAATGCGACAAAAAATAGTTTTTCATAAATCATAACGTATAATTTTTTTAAATTATTGATATACTAAAATAAAAAAATGTAATACACTAAATTGTATTAACTGTTTTATATATATGAATGAAGTATAAATATAATATGAACATACATTTTTAGAACCATATTATTTGAATTATTTTCATTTTTAAACATGACTGTCACTCTTTTAAAATTATTAATTCTAACATTTTATGAAATTCATGGTAAAAATACATTTATATTATATTTATATTGTATATACAGGTTGATTAATTTATTGTTAACAACATTATTTTTTCTAAATTATAATAATTTTGAGAATTAAAGACAAAATATTTTTTGTTTGTTCGACTCCCACCTGAGCAACACGTTTGTTACTTCCGAGCGAACCGCATTTATAGCTATCGATAGCGTACAGACGAGTACACACTACACAAAATCAGGTATTATGAAATTATTTCCTATCACAACACACCGCTCACTAAAATAAACCAGTTTCACAACTTACTACAAATTAAACGGCCGCCACCGTCGGTACGGCCGCCGACGGTTCGAGGTCAATTACTCGAACATCTTATCTACTATAATTATCCCAACAACTTAAACAAATAATTCAACTATGAATACTACAAAAAAATCTATTTCACCGTTAGTCTTATCTAAATCAAGATTTTCCCAGTCTACCGATAAATCGCTCTTTGAATTCTCGGATAGCGAAAATGACTGGCAAACAGTCGATAAAAATAAACGCATCAGATCGCCTAATAACGTCTCACCCCAACCAAAAAAATCTGATACGAGTATATTCATCTCTCAAAACAGATACACACCAATTTCTCCTGCGACTGAAAACGTTCCCATGGACAGCTCCAATGAACAAAATGTAGAAAATATCACTAACAAAAAAAGTCTACCTCCACCTATATTCATCCAAACACAAATAAATTACAATTCTTTTTGCCTCAAAATGAAAGAACTCAGCGACGCATCTAGTTTTTCCTGTAAAAGCTCTACCAAAGGTGTTAAATTACAAACATTTAGCCCTGATTCATACAGATCAGTCATTAAATTTTTCAAAAGTGAAAACATCTCCTTCCATTCCTACCAGTCAAAAGAAAACAAACCGTTCAGAATTGTCATCCGCAACCTTCACCCTTCTACTGATAAAGATTTTATCTCTGACGAATTAACTAATCTAGGGTACCAAGTCAAAAACATAACGAATGTCCTCCACAGATCTTCTAAAACGCCGCTGCCCCTCTTCTTTGTTGACCTTGAGCAAGTTGAACTGAATCAAGAAATATTCAAACTCACTTCCCTCTGCTATTCCAAAATAAAAATTGAAGTCCCCCACACCAAAAAAGAAATAACCCAATGCCAACGTTGCCAATCCTATGGCCACACCGGTAGTTACTGTAATCACAACCCTAGATGTGTTCGCTGTGATGAAGATCACGAGTCCTCTGTTCGCACAAAAAACCGAAATGAACCGGCCAAATGCGCCCTATGCGGAGGCTCCCATTCTGCAAACTATAGAGGCTGTCAGTCTCATAAAGAATTACTAAAGCAAAGAAAATCACATCTCAACTCAAACATTAAAACCAATTATTTACTTAACGTAAACTCAAATGAAACTCACTCAGAAAAAATCTTAACCACTCAAAATTTTCCACCCTTTTCTCACTCTAAAACTACTCAATCTACCACAGCAAAAAATCCAATTAAGTGGACAAAATCAGACCAGCCGTCAGAGAAAATTTTTTCAAATCATTTATCTTCTTTTATTACCGATCTAAAAACGCTAATTAATCCACTTATCTCACTCCTCACGACTGTCATCGAGCAACTTCTTAAAAATGGCCGTTAATCAACAATCACACCTACTCACAATCCTCTTGTGGAATGCCAATGGAATAGTAAATAACATCAACGAACTACAATTAACTCTATCAGAAGAAAAAGTAGATATTGTAATGATATCGGAAACTCATCTTACTAAAATGTCTTCTCTCAAAATCTTTGGGTATGAAGTGCTCAGAGCTGATCACCCTGATGGTACTGCCCATGGAGCCGCTCTACTCATTTCCAACAAAATATCTCATTCTCCTTTTCTACCATTTACCTCTAACAAACTACAAATCATTGCCTCCTCTATAATTATAAATTCGATACCAATTACTTTCGCTTCTGCTTATCTCCCACCAGGGTGTCAGTTTCCTGAAAATGAACTATCAACATTTTTACTCACACTTAATCACACTTATAATATCGGAGCTGATTTTAACGTCAAACACCCAACATGGGGAGCCAGATCAACCAATACAAGAGGACGTTCACTCTATAGTTTCATGTCCTCCATACACGCTAAAGCAATCGCTCCAGATGCGCCTACATACTGGCCAACACACGCAAACCGTCATCCAGATATACTTGATTTCTATCTAACAAATCTGCCAAATCATTTCTTAACAAAAATCACTAACTTAAATGACCCGGCCTCAGACCATACTCCAGTCATGCTACAAATAAACGCCCAAACTTCTTCTTGTATAAACAATTTCACCCAAAATCAAATATGCTGGCCAAAATTCCGAAATCTCATGACGAAGAACTCCCATCTTAATATTAAACTAAAAACAAAAACCGATGTCGATCTGGCAATTAATACACTCACAGAGAACATTCTCAGCGCTAAAATCAACTCCCTATCTCCAATAATAAACAAGCAATCTGGCAATCAACTTACTCCTGAATTAAGACTACTCATAACAGAGAAGCGGAGAGCCCGCAATCAATGGCATCGCACTCACTACCCTGAAGACAGACATACATATAACTCTCTAACAAATAAACTCAAAAAACTACTAAAGAAGCACAAAAATGAAATGTACAAATCTCACCTCTCATCCCTATCACCAAATAACGGCTCCCTTTGGAAGAAAACTAAATCACTATTAAAACACAAATCAGTCATGCCTCCCCTTCAACGTCTAAACAACACCCTAGCCGTCTCCACTCAAGAAAAGGTCGAGCTACTTGCTGAACATTTTGCCAATGTCTTCAAGCCACACTCAATCCTCCCGGACACCACATACTTAGATCTAGTAAATCGATTTAACACGCCTCCACTACCCATGGCCCTTCCAGCAAAACCCACCACTCCCAAAGAAGTGTCATCAATCATCAAAAAACTCAAGACCAACAAGTCACCTGGACACGATCTTATTAGTAACAAAATAATAAAAAATCTACCGCCCAAAACAATCATACTGCTTACATATATTTACAACGCGATCTTTCGCCTTTCTTATTTCCCCCTAAATGGAAAACAGCAATTATTATCTCCATCTTAAAACCTGAAAAACCCCCAGAAAAGTCGACGTCATATAGACCAATTAGTCTTTTACCAGTCCTCGGTAAAATCCTCGAAAAGTTTCTCCTAAGCAAACTTCTCCCATTAGCGCAAGAGAAAAATACCATACCTGAATTTCAGTTTGGTTTTCGACCAAAACATGCCATATTCCATCAACTTCACAGAGTCGTAGATACTATTGCTACATCTCTCGAATCCAAAAAATACTGCTCTGCCGTATTCCTCGACGTCGCGCAAGCATTTGACACGGTCTGGCACACCGGTTTACTATATAAATTAAAAAAAATATTTCCTGCACCATACTTTCTACTACTCAAATCATACCTTGAAAATAGGTCTTTTAGAGTCAAACTTAATTCAACACTATCCGATTATCATAATATTCAAGCCGGAGTCCCCCAAGGTAGCGACATTGCTCCTTTCTTATACATCATCTACACAGCTGACATTCCACATACCGCAAACACACTCATCGGAACATACGCAGATGACACTGCAATACTAGCTGCCGATCAAGATCCGCATAACTGTAGCAAATTTTTACAATCTCACCTCAACATATTATCCAAGTGGTGTGACACCTGGAAAATAAAAATCAACGAACTAAAATCTACCCACATCACCTTCACCCTTCGTCAAAATGTCTGTCCTAACATAATTCTCAACAACACTATTATTCCACAAGCAAGGGAAGCGAAATACCTGGGCTTGCTATTCGACAGAACGCTCACATGGGGTCCTCATCTTAAAAGTAAACGGAAACAGCTAAATACTCGTCTTCATCTAATAAGACCGCTCATCCAACACAACCAGCACATATCCTATCGTCTACTTCTTTACAAATCCCTCCTCCAACCAATATGGTCATACGGTATCGCGCTCTGGGGTGTTGCAAAGCCGTCTAACATAAGGACAATACAGGCGTTCCAGTCTATTTGTCTCCGTATGATAACCAAAGCACCTTGGTACGTCACCAACAACTCCCTCCACGAAGACCTCAAAATAGCTACAGTTAAAAAAACTGCACACATATATTACAAAATACTACATTCCAAAATGCAATCCCATCCAAACCGTCTCGTTACTCAGCTACATTCAACAATTCTTCCGGGCAATCCAAACAGATGCCTCAAACGCAACTGATCAAGAGACCTTCTTAATATTATTTAACCCACTTAAAATTAATAATACACAGGTGGCTCTAATGTGAGCCTCCTCCTCATCGCCTTATCATTGTCTATTTTATTCCTATTCACATGTTTACTTATTGTACATATAGCTGTATAGATTGTAAATTTTCTAATAAAAAAAAAAAATAAATAAATAATTATGAAAAAAAAATACTAGTATTATTGTGATAAAAGTGTGGGTGCTTTGTGCCATATTTTTCGTATATTGAGCGCCCGATGATTTTATCACAATAATACTAGTATTTTTTGTTCATAATTATTTTAAAAATTATTTTTAACTTTTTAGTTCGATGTGCTTTAAAAGCGTGTTTTTTTAGTTTTTTTAAACTATATTTTTTTCCTCATATATGATATATGAGTCTATTAGTTTATCGTTTAAATTGGAATTCATCTATGACAACTATGCTGCAACGTTAAATCGCAGTTACCAATATTTTTATCAAAATTAAATTTTTTACATAGTATCACGTAGAACAGTAGAACAAATTTTTTTGTATTTGCATACTGTATTTTTAGTTTAATTATTAACGTAGTTGTTCTTATAGCAAAGCCTACATTAAAAGGAAAGGGCACCGCCCGATAGACCGGCACGGAGCAGGTCCCGAACGTGCCGGATTATTGGAATTCTACTGTAATACTTTTTCTGCAAAACACTTATCGTGCCCAGCGTAGCCGGGTACCCCTACCAGAATCAGTGGCCTACTTATGATGACGGCCCGAAGAGGCTTACGCGCCGAAGTCGGGTAAGGCTCGTAGGGCTCCGGGTCTGGGGCGGAGCCCCATCTAGGCGGAGCCTAGTATGTTAATATTATGAATAATAATATAATATTACAATTATGAAGGGAAAAAAATGTACGTTTGTGCAAGATGTACCCCATATAGAGTCTGGTGGGTTGTGGTTAGTTTATGTAGCGTAATAATTTAACCTAATAATAGGTTACACGTTTGCCACAATATGTCACAATTTTTTTATTATCTGTTACGTTTTCTTATTTGTTTAATAACGGTTGAGTATACAAGGATTAAATATTTAAGCGTAACGACAATTTGTTAATATGTGTATCCTATTATTTTGCTTGAATTACGCTATATAAAAATTTTTCAAAATGAAACAAAAATGTTTCACAAAATCAGTATATTTGTGTATAGACTGATAAAATGTAATAATTTTGGAAAAAAGTTAAAAAATGTTACAGTAAAACTTTTCATATTAAATGAATGTTAAAATTAAACAATTTTTTTTTAATTGAAAATATTTCAATTTGTTATAATTAGCTTCTTGAAAAAAGTTAAATTTAGTTAAAGAACTTTGAACGAGACAGCGTCAATATGTTAAATAATTTGTATTTGTGTAAATTTACTTCGTATAGTTAGTTGAAATTTAACAATATTTTACAGTTTGTACTTCTCTTGTAGTTAAAAATGCAAAAAAAATGAAATATTTAAAAATAAAATTTACTCTCCCAAAAGAACATGCTAACCCTTAGCAAAAACAATAAACAATAAACAATTTTTTTTCAATCTATAAATCTTGTTAAATTTTTCATAAAAATTAATTATTTTTCAGATATTTAATCTATCCTTAAAACCAGATCGTGAATTAATAGTTGATAAAAGATTTTTAAAAGATTTAAGCCAATTTGTTACAATAGTTCAGGAAAAAGAATTTAATGATAATGATTATATTTTGCTATCATCGAAATGTTGGTCCCAATTTCCAGAAATGGTTAAAGAAAAACAAAAATCAGTTGACAAATATAAATCAACTATGCAATCTTTACAATGCACTAATGGATTAATTGTACTTTACATCATGAATCACTTAAGAGATCTTGCACATTTAGATAATGGAAGTATACATGAAAAACAAGAAGAAATGAAGTGGTATGTGACCTATTTAGCTCGAATGCTTTCAATAACCTATATAGCACAATGGACGACCCATAAATGGCTATTTATCTTATACTTTCGATTAAAAGCAGCTGTCAATACTGAAACTTACTCTCCTGAAGAAATAAATAATCTTCTGTATGACCTGTGTGATGATAAAGACATTTTTAACGAAATTGTTATATTTATTGAAAATTGTAAATTATTTAAGTATTTGCCAAAACAAGATCAAAGCAGAAATTATGACGTGATAAGTAACATGATACAAATATATGCCAACTACAAATTTGATTTTTCTTATCAATACAGTGAAATTTTTACTGATTCCAACTTAGCAGTACCCAAAATGTTAAACAACGATCAACATTTTCTATTTGATTTCTTACCTCATACCCAGTTATTAAATAAAACATTTGATATGCTAAATTTGACTGTTAATAAACTCAAGGATGTAGTTTTTACGATTAACTGGTCTTTGCGTCCATTTGATTACATTGATTACCATGTTTTGTTCATGAGAATAGCTTACACTAAACTTTTGTACCATACGTGGTTTCATACAAAAACGCTGCACCAGTATGTTAAAACTATAAAACTCAAATATCAAAGTAAAACTACTAAAAACATGTTGGAAACTTTTTGGTTTCTTCTTTACAAACCACTTGAAAATGCTCTAATTGTTCTTGATATAGAAGATAATTTTTTCTGTACTCTATACCATGAAATGTTACATGTAAATTTAATTGATAAGAATCACATTGACACAATCGTAGAATTAGTTACTACATTATTAATAGAAAATTTTAGTATTTTAAAAATTCCCAAAGAAATTTTAAATGATGTATCATTTCCGAAACTCAACCATGAAATTATTAAAAATATTGATTTGGTAAAAAGTAACACTAATAAATTAGACGAATTTATTCAAACGATACAAGAAATAACAAAACCAATTGATATTAAATTTATTAAAATATTTTGCAAAGCTAAATACCCCCAATTAATCCCCATATATTCTAGACAGTTTCTTTAAGTAATTCTACAATTCTTATTATTTTTAGTAGTATAAATTGTTTTTTTGTGTAAAATTTTAATAGGTACCTATTTTATTTAGAAATATAAAAAATGGTATTTTAAAATAGTAAATAATTTCATTATATTGAATTATTATCTTTTTTTAATATTTAAAATATTTTATATACAATATATATACAATATACATATATATATATATATAACCCAAGTTAAATACTTATATTTGTTTTGCACGTAATATTCTTTATTTTTTGAGTAGGTATTACACTATCATGTTGTTAATTATAAGGGCACAATAATTTTGTTTTAAAATATATAACTTATAATTGCGGAAAGGTTAAGAATAGGTATTTATATGATAAGTTTATTTTTAATCATCTGGATCAAAGGCCGGCGTTTTTGCTTGTATTACAAATATTAAATTATTTTGTTTTATTAGTTCCAAAAATTTGTTTAACCATAACTATTTCATATTAGAGTAAAAAAAAGTCTTCTAATTATTATAAATAATTTTTCCTAATAATGATTAATAGCATTATTATATTGATAATAAACTATTGTTTTTTTTTACATTTACAGTTTGAGTTACTATTTAATGTGTTATCATCACATTATTTTACTTTGCCTATTCTTATTTTGTTTTTATTTAGCACACTGAAACTGTACAATTTTTTTTTTATGATACTCTAATAAATTTAAATCTTGATGAAAGAATCTTGTTTGTACTTTATACCCCCAACCAGTGACTCAATATTACTGTCGTTATGCTTTTATGCGAGTTTAAATTCTATGCACTGTTGCATTTGCATATGCAGAAATTGAAAAAGACATTGGACATAATTTAGTTCAAGCTCCATTTTGCTTACAATTTTTAAGTAATTGAATATTCTCAATGTATATTTCATTTGTAGAATAATTATAAAGTATACGTGAACATTTATCATAGAATTTAAAAAACGTTCTGTATTTTAGCTTCGATGCGAAGCTGAGAAGGTATTGGTTTTACTAAGATGTGTTTTTTTTTTTTTTTTTTTTTNAGCTGAGAAGGTATTAATTTTACCATGTGTTTTTTTATTTTTTTTTTTTTTGTGTCTGTCACTACTTTTTCTCAGCTCTCACTGGACCGATTTCTTTTAACAATACGTCAAAAGATCACAAATTGTATCTAGTTGAAGACATTACCCTTAAAAATTTAAAAATTTTCCCTCGTTCCCCGCAAATGGGGGAAATATCCAAAAAAATTACAAATTTAAAAATCGCCAAATTTTGTCATTTTTT